TGGACACGAGTTTTTATACTAAAGACATATATGGAAAGTAGTATAAAGGAAGTTATGTATTACTGCAGAAAATATATTTTAGGATTGTACAGGAAATCTACGCTTTGGAGTTCCCCGTTACCAAAAGAGTAGTTTTATTAAAAAAGTCCGTCCATCCCACAAGCGTATACACGTCGGCGCGTAAGCATTACGAAAGCATTCGTAGGATTTTGCCGAAATGAAAATTCCGCGATAGATCTCGATTAGAAACACAGCGATTTTAAGAAGAACTGTACTCTTGACTGTACTTTACATCAAGCCTCAACGTTTTAAAAAGCATCTCAAAATGACACCAATATTTTTCTTTGGATACCTTGATTCACAAGACTGAAATACATTGATAAAGGTATAGCACCGATTTTTACATTGAACTCAATTTTTGAAAATTGAAAACATTTGAATTTTTTAGACCTCTCGGACAAATACATTATTGAAGAGATTTTTCTTCAAATGAAATTTGTGGTCCACAAATAGTTCTTTAATTAAGGTCTGGTACATTTCTTGAAAACATAAGCTGTTTTCGCGTAATTTTGAGTGAAATAAAAGCAATATTACGAACAAAATTTCCTCAAAGAAATGCTCCAAATTTGTGCTTTAAACAATTTGATGGATAGCGATAAATGTACTACATAGTATGACAATTCATTGTCCAATTCCAATATTGATGAACGAAAAACTGAGCAAATGTGAAAAAGTACCGTTTTTTGAAACACTATTGCCTCAATAAAAATATTACAAAAAAGTAAACCAAACAATTCTGTTAACTGATACATGCTATGAACATTATGTTCCACATTTTGAAGGGGTCATTTTGAGAAAATTGTCCATTACTGAGCGCAGTGTTAAAAGAAACGTTATTTACATAGTTGCCATGGAAACCAATGATGTAAAAGTTACTCAGACACATAAAATTAAATATTACGAGGCATATTAAATGCGGCGTATGAGTAAAAAAGGAATAATATATTACGTAAGTCACATGTCTACAAACAATATAGTCAAGTGAGATCATGCATGTGGACACTAAGCTGTATATTTGAAATTCGCGTAAGGCATGGCCCGGGGGCATTCCAAGCACTGGCGGATCCAGGAGGCATGGGGTCCTTCGGCCGGTGATTAACAGCTTGGAGCGTGTTAGACGAATCCTTTCCAATGTCGTTCGAACTAAGTAAACAGAATGCTCTCCTTCTCACAATTTTCTTTGTTTATTTCTCCCTGATCTTCACACGACGGGGTCAACTCCTTCGATAAGAGATAAGACTCATAAATTTTATGCTGGATTACAAAAGGAAATATCTACATTTCCCCCCACTTTTTAACATACTAGCTCTTTGAAAAAGGCTGATTTACTAGTCATGAATTTCGAGAAACTCGTCTCTCTTCGAAAAAACTAGCCATACAGCTCTGCAATCAGAGGCACGTCATTCGTTCACCATATCCTGTGGTTGCGTGCGGCAACTGTAATGACTAGAGGTGGGAGGAGGACAGTGACACCTCGCGCCGATGCTGCGCGGTGGCTCAGCCTCCGGATAACACAAAGAAATATTGTAATGTTAGGAATATACATTTCCTAATTGGGAATAATTTTGAAATCAAAGAGCGCCCGACGAGCGCTCTCTTCGGCGTCTCGTGCTCTCCCAGGCAATGCACAATGTCATTCTCTCAAGCTCTTTTACTGCGTTTACTATTTAACAGAGCATAGCTATGCTTCACACTGGCGGATCCGGGGGGACTGGGAGCCATGGGCCATGCCCCCCCCCCAAAAAAATGGCCTCTTTAAAGTTTTCGTTTACCTTCATTTATTTCGCAAAAGTGATTTAAATATTTATGTTAGAATTGTGTAGTAATTTAAACAACAATATTTATGGTATACCTAGTTCACAAATAATACGCAATAAATTACAAAAATTTTAATTATTTAACAAAAATCTACGATTGTCTCCCCAAAATCATCGGTTGGATCTGCCCTTGCATCAACACAAGGCTCTCCTTTCTTCACTGCAACGAACCACTGGCTCTCAGCACAGGAGTTGGCCGCAGAGCGCAGTGACCAAGGGGAATACTAATTTTCTGTCTTCGTCTGAAACTTGCTGCAACTTAATTTGATGAACTTCGCATGTAATTGAAAGTACACAAGTTCACTCAATTCTTGGCGGTATCGTCTGCATTATTTATGTTTGGAGAATTTCTTTTTATTTTATGAGTTTTTTTATTCAAAATAAGCATTTGACGGGTCTTTTGTGTAAAGTCGACAGTTTTGGAAATAAGTGCCTCTTTCTGTCGCAGTCATTTCACACGGGACCGACCGTCATTCGTGAACGGTCATGATTGACAATACTGATCGTGAATGAGTGTTTGGAAAATCGCGAGAGAGAGACCAGTTATTTTTGTAAGAGTTGTTTTGTATATATTATACATTAAATTATATTAATACCAAGGTAACGACATTTATCGGACTTGCCACCACTGGTAGCAGCAACAAATAGATCATGAAATGAACTGGTATAGGCCTAAAACGTGTCAAAACAATAGTTGTTGCAAAACGCTAGAGTGTGATTATCGTATTTTCGAAACCTAGTTCGTTTTCCATTTATGAGAATTCTATCACCGGCGAATTGTCTCAATACAAACCTAACACAAAAAGTGTCCACTAGAAATCGAAGATAGATGTGCGTGGGAGGTGAACATACCTGTCACGGACACCACGCATAAAACTATGTAAGTAATGTTTGAATTTCGCTTATTAAATTTATTTTTAATTAATTAAATTCACATGAATTGCTTAAATTTTATTATACATTAGTGTTCTGAATTTGTACGTTTTCCCTTCACGACGGCGATGCAACGACGTCAAGTTCGTTGGGGACCAACTGCAACTGGGGGCGGATTCTTAGAACGCATTTTTCTTTTCCCTTTACTCTACAGTAAACCTATAGAGGAAAGAACGTATCCCCTAAGGTAAACACTCGTTTAACACTAATAAAATCTGGGTCCCGGCAAAGAATTATTGTAATGTGGGTAAAATAATTGTTTAAAACCATGATTTCAGTCTCTTGAAAATCGTGATAACATGGGTTTACTGTACTTTTAAATTAGTTTATCATGAATCTTGACATTCTAAGGAAATATTGAGCAAATAAATGTTTACACAAATCAATATAAGGTCTTGTCAACAAGTTTCACATTAAAAAGTCATTTTATACATAGGATACATTATATTTAAGTGAAATATTTGTTAGGTTATTTTAAAAGTAACTACTAATACATTGACATTTCTCATTCAAATCATAGCACAGACTACTTTCAAGTTCTAAGAGTTTCAAGTAATGGAGTTCAATTTCCCATAGCTCTCTTTGTGGAAACACATAATGGAGCTGAAGAATTTCAAATTATTATTTTCATACGTTATCAGCCTTCAACATTTTAAATGACCAACTTGGACATCGAAAGAAACTGCCAGGGTCAACATTTTTTTTTTTATCAAGTCATATTTATATTTTGTTGTTTACATTCTTATGAATGTATAGGTCATAAGAATAATATATTCACATTTCTTAATTTTTAAGTTGTGGAAAGAAATCGTCTAATAATAAGACAAGCATTGCAACTCTTATAATTTTGTTGGGCATTGCCACCTTTCAAAAAATGCATATACAGAAACTATTGTTTTACTGAAATGAAAGAAACAAATTGAAAGAATGAAATGATGATCAACTCAAACATCAATTTTCTTCCCACCCATTTTGTTTCAAAGACAAAATTATATCTTGATTATTTTTGAGTTTACAGTTGCTCAAGTTTATTTACAATAATCAGTCCAATTTCCATCACAATGCACAAATGAGGCCTATCATAAATTATGAACAAGCATATTTATAAATAATATTATTATAATATCCTAAATTTTAAATACAAATATAGACATACATCTGAAATTTTTTATTAAGAGTTGAAAGTACATTAAAAAATCCGAGAATAAAATTAGCAGTGGTACTCAATGGAGACAGAAAAAGGAATAATTTCCTGATAAACAGTAATACTGAAAAATATTTAAAACTGACAATCTCCTTCTTAACAATGGATTACTTACCTCTCACGTCTAACATAACTCTAAATGTTTATTAATTCTACAATCTCTTTATATCCTGTAAATGATTTTTAGTTGCTACTTGAGAATATTTGAAATGTGATCTAATGCATTGTATATGTGAAAGCAAAAATCGTTCAAATCATACCTCACAAAGGCTTTAAAATAAACAAATACACAAGGCAGACCACACCATGATATACCTTTTAATTATATTACCTATTAATGATCTATATTGAAGCCAAATAAAATTTTTAAATAATTCATGAATGGCAAGAAAGTTTGTAAATAAACATCTAAATTTGATTTGAGATTATCTCCAAACCCATTAGGAATTTTACTATTTTGCATAGGTAGTTAAAAAAATAATCAAACTCCTAACACATTTCACATAGCTTTGTCACATTTCCAAGAATTAACGACAATTACTTTGAACTAATAAGATAAGAATTATACCCTGATAAGTTTCAACAAGTAGTGATGTATGCATGCAACTCTCAGGAAGTCTAATCTCTAAGAAAAACAAAAAATTGGTCTTATTCCATAACCAAATGTTATTTAAAGTAGAATAAATACTCCGAATGCATTTAGCTCCAAAAAGTTTGCAGAATTTCATTGTGCTCAGATTCTTATGGCTATGCATTTTCTAACTGATTAAAATATCTTAAATTACACATACCTTCATTTATTTAAATACCTCATGAAAATTTGCTGGTATATTTAGCATGTAAACTATTATTTTGATCTACATCTTTTCACATTTTTTTTATCATTTACTTTACTATTGCTAAGGACTGTGTGCTATTATTTAAACTAAGTAATTAACAGTGTCCCCATGCATTACAACAGAAAAATAAATAAAAAATCTACTTACCTAACATCAAGGAGTGATTAATAACACCACCAAAACAATATGCTACAAGAAGTAACATGGGCCAAGACTGATCTTTTAAAGCATACATTGTAATGAACTGGGTGATCACCATGCTAGTGACAACCCATTTGAATTTTGGGTCGTAACCAAATAACTTCTTAATTTGTGGATATTTAGCTGGAAATAATAACATTATTTATTTACGTGTCACTCGACAAAAACATTTACTTTGCGAATGATCTAAATGTACTTAAATACATAAACACAAACACGAAATATTAGCGCCGATATTTTTATTAACTATGTACTTAACCAAGTATGATCCAAACTATGGCATTCAGTTTGACTCACAACTATGACACTCACCCAATATTTCTTTTCGGCGGCTAGCATGAGGCTCTTCTGAATAGGACCACTCGAAGTCTGTTCTAGAGACGTGAGCACCCATGATAAATAGATGACTGAAATCACTTCCGAACTCGTGATTTTTGACACAAAGTACGACGAACCTAAATTCAACACCAAATAAGAAGGCTCCTCCCACCCGGCATTCCTGCTTCAGGTCGCTGCGTTTGTTGCCCTGTGCTTGCCGCTGGCCGGGCACATCCCACTCAACCTCACACGCAGCTATAGAGCCCCACTCCTCTTCTTTCCAGCCTGACGACCAATGATATTTGTCCTGGTTTCATACTATCATGATATCGATGTAATCGTATGAGAAATTCAGTGAACGTTTGACACTTGCGAATAAATGAGCACCTCCTTTGAGAAAACATAAGACATTCACAATTTTTTATGTGAAATAACTAGTCATACATTTTTTTAAAAATATGTAATCTTTTATCTTACACGACTTTTCAACACAAAACATGGTGGAAGCATTGCAATTAAAGCCGCATTTGTAGTGGTACCAGTGTGCCACGAGTGACGTCGAGAGAAGGCGAGGATAGGACCTCCTTCATGAAAACTTCGGTTTTCATGCGCCTATATCAAGGTGCGAGTTTTATTCCTATACTTATTTAACCGTCGTCATGGTAGATGAAGCGACGAAGAAAACTCTTAGTGGCATACCGTTGTGCAAAACTAAAGCAGGGCCGCGAGATAAAGACCTTTGGGTGCAGAGATTAAAAGAAGAATACCAGTGCTTAATTAAGGTAACCTATTTTACTGTCCATATGGTATTCTTTTCTGAAACTTATTGTAACATAGGATGTTTTTTCTGCAGTATGTACAAAATAATAAAAGTGCCGATAATGATTGGTTCAGATTGGAATCCAATAAAGAAGGTACAAGATGGTTTGGCAAGTGTTGGTATGTCCATAATCTGTTGAAGTACGAGTTTGATGTCGAATTTGACGTAAGTTGCAGAACAGCAACCTTATTTCATATACCAAAACTGTTGTCATAGTTTATGGGTATTTCAGATACCAATTACATATCCTACAACCGCACCTGAAATTGCATTGCCAGAACTTGATGGGAAAACGGCAAAGATGTACCGTGGTGGCAAGATTTGTTTGACAGACCATTTCAAACCTCTTTGGGCTAGAAATGTGCCAAAATTTGGCATAGGACACGCAATGGCATTAGGAGTAAGTTCAGCATTTACTTACTAGCTATAACATATGGCCTTACTTCTTACGATATCTGAATAAACATTTTTTTCTTCTTACTTTCCAGCTTGGACCCTGGTTAGCTGTAGAAATTCCTGACATGATTGAGAAAGGAATTGTGACTTATAAAGAAAAAGATGGGTGATTGTCCTGCATGTGTAAAACACTGATTTTTGTGAAGTGTATAAGTGAACATTAAAAAATATAAACAGTAGTTACTTCAAGCTGGATCTTGATATTGAAAACTTTTAATCGCTTATAAACCAGTCTAAAATGGTTCAAATACTTGAAATTATATTTAATCATCTTTCTTAAAGAGCTTTTCCACTCAAATTCCTGAAGATATTAAGTTGTGTGAGATGTAATGTTTATTATTAATGAGAATAAGAAGGAAATACATTGTGGTATATGGCATGTGAAACTAATCTCCATGATCTGTTCATGAAAACTGACAAAAAAATGAATGAATGGAAAAAAAAATTATTGAATATCGGTAGTTGCCAAAGTCATGCATTCTATTTCACCCACATCTACTTCATTGTGGAGAGTGTCGCTCTCTCACTTTATTTTATATTTCCTTAAGCCATTCTGGTATTTGGCACAATATTCAGTTTTGCTGGGAGATGAATGATCATTAAAATTGTTCTCAGTGCGCTGTACCACAGACACGCCAGCACTTCCGCAGGAAGATAAACTAAGAGACAATTCTAATAATGTATTGAGGAAAGGTACTCTCTCCATTCATATGATAAATAATCTATGAACAATGACTGCTATGACTAATGAAAAACGTATTGTTTACACAAGGGCCAAAAGGAAAATATTATTAAATGTTTATAAATACCACATTAACTTTCCGTTATTATTTTGAAATGTTTCAGACATGGTTTAAACTTTCTTTAGTAAACAAATCAAAGAAAGTTATATAACTTGCAACATATCTAGGTTTTAATGAACGTTTGGGGAATCCCTTGTCACTAAGTGCTTTCAATCAAATGATTTAAATATTACAACATCAAAACTTCCTATTCAACCAAAACCTTTAGACATAAGACCATGGCGAGTTTGATACAGCCACATATTTGAATACCTTTGTCTTTGACTTTGAGTTCTCACTGTAATAGGTTAAAGCATATCAGGAATATAGGGTACAACATAAATAAGTTAGGCCTTATAAAATAAAATACATGTGTTATTATCAACTAAACAGCAAACAGGATCAATTTACATCCTAGGCACCACAAAGTCACTAAAAAAACATAGAAACATACATTACTTCTTTTGATCATCATCTAGTTGCATTTTCTTTGTTTCAGCAACAATTTCATCTAATCTGTATAAATCTTTAAGGCTGACTTCTCCAGAACCCCGAGGAAGTGGTTTGGGCTGTGATGCATCAGGTTTCCATCCTAACAAATAAATGATTTGGAATGTTGCTGGAACAGATAAACCTCTTCCATCATTCTTTCCATATAGCTCTTGATAAATAGCAGCAGCTGCTACAGTAACATCACGCCTCAAATGTAATTTTCTATTCCAAGCTGCGTTATTTTCTCCCATTCCCTTTAAATCCCACATTAATTCAAACATGGTTGGATACCCAACAACAATTTCATCAGTATCAATAGTTAACATAGTAAAGCCAGCTCTTGTGAGGAGGCTTCCAATGTCTCTAACTTCTGTAAAAGGAGAAATATGTGGGGCAATTCCTCCTTGACGTTCAAGTTCAGCCAACTGAAGAGATGATCGCAGTTCATAGAGTGTGTCTCCACCAAAAACAGCGCCCATAAAAACACCATCATTCTTCAAACTGTGCAATATTTGAGAGAAAGTACCTGGTAAATCATTGACCCAATGTAAACTTAGACTACTTACTACCAGGTCAAGGGAGTTTTGGTCAAATGGCAACAATTCTTCGTCAACCACTTTCCTCTGGACTTTTATTCCTTCTTGAGGTTGTGCTTGCTCCAGCCAGGTGGGAGACATGTCACATAATATAAGTTCTTCAACACTATCAGCTGTTATGTGTTTAGAAACATACCCACGTCCGCAACCAATATCTGCTGCACATTTAAACTTCCTTTTAATGTCACGAACACGATCTGCCAATCTAAACCCTACTTCTTCCTTCAAATAGTCAAAAAGCTCAACCTCAGAGCTGATGGCAGCCCTCTCTTTCTGCAACTGCTTAGCTTTCCTGTCAAAAATATTTAATACTGATCCTTCAGGTGCCTTAATTTGGCGAGAGCTGTTGTAAACGTGTATTCTTCGAAGCGATTTTGGCAATACACTACTGAAGCCTTCACAACATAACCTATCAATTGCATTGACATTTGTATTCAGACAGATACTACGATATGCTCTACCTGGAGAAACAAAGTTCAAAGACCTCGAAACATGGTGAAACATCAATGCCATCGTCTCTCAATTTATACAAAGGAATAAAATTGCGCGTCAGCTCTTTCCGTGCTGAATATAGATCACACGCCGATAGACGCTAACTACCAGGAGAAACCACATATCAATCGTTCCTCCATCAGGGCCGGTTCCCTGAGGTTCCTGTTTGTGCAGTTTTGTGAACGCACTTAAAGTGCAATGCGCGTTCACGCCACCGCGGTGGGACCATTCCTACCCTTACGAGCATCTATGGCCTATCCTGTAACATAAGAGAGAAAACAACGGTCAAAAAGACATTAGCCTACCGGCGCGCGCATTGCGTGTTTTGTAATACCAAAGAGTATACATGTTTATGCCCCAATCCCACTTCTCTGTTTCAGATTGCTCTTACTCCAGGAAGTGTTTCGGTCGCCTATACTTCGCCCTTAGATCGGGCTCGTATGAGGCGATCGCGGAAATGAGTTCATTTTCCGAGTCAGACCGGTTCCCTGAGGCATTGTACCAACCCTTATATATACCAACATTCAAGACATTTACAAATTGTGATTAAAATACGATTTATTTAGTCGTACACTAGACGAAAATCAGCTGTAGGGATTTCATCCAATCGGGTGTTTATATTATCCGCGCTTGTTTTCTTGAGCACTCGTTTCGCTAGTTGCGAGAAGAGAGGGGAGTTTTGGTGATTTTAAGAAAGGAATTTTATATCAAATTTGTAGTGTTTTTCGATACAAAATATTTTCTATTACACGGTAGCGAACATTTCCGGTTATCAGATTTTGTTTACAACGTCCGTTGCTATCATTTATTCTTCATTCAACTAACGTAGGCAATGAAGTGGGGGTAGGTATCACGGGGCTCAAGAAAACGTGCGCGCATATGTCGCTACAGTAACGTCTCGAAGGGGACGTTCAAGCTCCCGATTGGACGAAACCGTAAACAGCTGATTTACATCAAGTGCGTAGTTAAACAAATTATAGTACTATATATATAATTGTCACCTTGGACGCAATTACACTCGGAGAATATATTCCGCCTAAAGAAATCCAAATTGCAACCACGTTACTAACAATGCATTTTAATAATTAAATTTGTACAAAGAAATGGTTGCCCCGACCGGGACTCTAACCCGGGCCTTCTGGTTTACGCCCAGCTGCTTTAACCTCTGTTCAAAGGGTTGGTTGCCTTGGTAGCTTAGTCCCGGTCGGGGCAACCAATTCTTTGAACAAATTTAATTATTATATCATTGTATACGCCTTGGTGCGATTCAGAGTACTACGGAGTACTAGCACAGCTTGATACGATCATGATTATACATCTAGCGGCACCCAAGACGAGGAATGCTGTGTATATTCCATCGTGTAGACAAGCCTTGAGGGGCAGCTATAAAAAAAATTACACTATATGAAATGTACTCGCACATGACTCGCTATTCAAGACGGCCATGATCGTACCAGTCTGTCATGGCACAGCTTTGACTTTTTACAAAACCACTCAAACTTTGGTAACTGCAAATGCAAAATTTTTGGATCCCCTCCCACATTATCGAAAATAGATAATCTTCATTAAATTTATCCTTCAAAATTATATCTTTGATTAATGATTTGTATACTTTTTTTTTGCTTTGTCATCTGGTGGCTTAAGAGCGAAGTCGCTCGCCTTTCGCCAAGGAGGTACGGGTTCCATTCCCTGACAATCTCAAGTGAAATTTCTCCCACCAAAAACAGTTTGGCTGCTTCACATGGGCTAGTCCAACTTCTGTGAAGGTAGAGTTGTTGAACCATGTTCTTTTCATGATGGGCTTGATATTATGTGGTATAGTCGCTACACATTTACTGTTCAATGCATCACGATGAGGAAATGTAACAGCCAAATGTTTGAAAATAATGTAATGAAAACAAACATCCTGTTCAAAAAAAGGTAGACAATTGTGAGCAGTTCATGAATTATACATATTAGATTCAACAAGTTTGTCAATACAAGAAAAACAAGTTATAACACAGTACACATAACATTTCGTTCAAAATGTGTTTTTCAAATTTTTTTGTTCTTTCTCCCCCCCCCCTTTTTCTTTTCTTCTTTTTTTGGGGGTGCATGTGTGTGTGTGAATCTTTGACCCTTCAAATATGTTTTTAGTAATGGAATAAGAAAAAAGTCAGAATGTGAAAGATCTGCAGAGTATACTAGTCTGATCCTATAACATTGTGACTGAAAAATTAGCTTTTTATGGAAACTTATCATCGAGATGGCGCATCGTCATGTAAACCAGATGTTTTGTACTCATTTTTCTAGATGTTTCCTTCTTACTGTGTTACAGGGGACGACAAAGAATTTTTATGACATTCTTTTATTACAATTCTATCTTCTAGAATAAACTCATCTGAACAAGAGCATGAGCATCAGAGAAAACCACCAGAACAACTGTGTCTCTGCTGGTGACCTTAGGCAGTTTTTGGTTTAGACCCATGGATTTGGATTTTCATACGCATGACTGGTGTTTAGGCAAAAGGACATACAAATAGCTCCAAGTTTCATCTGCAGCTATAATGATGTTCAAAAAATTATCTTTGTCAGTAGTTCTGGTAAGATCCTGAACATTCTTGTTAGTTTGTTTTTAGGAGACATTTTTGGAAATAGTAACTTGTAAGATATGTAATGAATGTTCAAATGTTTATGCAGAATAACAAGAACACTTTCAATTGAAATTCTGAGTTCTGCTGTTATATTTCCAACATTCTTTCCTTCAATGTCTTCAACAATGAGTACATCCTCAGTGATAATTTTATTTGTGGGAGTTGTTGGCCCCTCTGCGAGTCACAGCCTTCACCAAAACATTTATTCCAGCCATTTACAAACATGTTTTTCATTGATACTGCATTACCTGCTTTTGGGAGCATTCTTAATGTTTCTGAAGGTCATCTGTTTAATATATCACATAACATTATATTTGAGCATTACTCTGTAGTTGACATTAGCTACTACAATAAATGAACACACACAAAAAACAAAACCTAGTTGCCATACAAATATGACAATTGCCTGACATGGCATTAAATATTTGTTATTATCTTTTTAGGAAAATTAAACAACTAAAAATAAATTAACATTTATTAAAAATACCAATTTGAAAACATTACAACAACTTATTTATGTTCAACTAATATCACAATCATTTGTTAGCTCTTATGCAGAGCAAATTCAGCAAATTTCTTTGCAGAAGTAACTGCATCATTAAGCAGAGTAGACATTGTATCTTCTTTCACATATTTCTTTTTCATATTGAAAACTTCTTCACTATTTTGACCTCGGGGGGCGAAACCTTTGCCCTCAAATACAGAAAGGACTTCTTCCATCCACAATTTTGCATTGAATTTTTCAGAAATAAATTTCTGTAAATCAAGGGAAAACGTACCTTTATTATTTATGAACTATTTAAAACTAAAGATTAATTAAATAAATTACGATTAAAAATTAAATTCTGAGAATTTTCTATTTACCTTAGGAACGCAACACCTTGCTTTTAAATTATCACCACTGGCAGCAATCAATAGCACAGGAAGATGGGGGCACATCTTAGTAGCTTTTTGAAGAGGAATATCATCAGCTGATGATGAACACTTTAAAAAGTGAACCACAAATGGTTCTGTTTGCAAATTTTGCAAAACTATTTGCATTTCATCTTCTAAATTCCCTCTAGAAAGACAATACTACACTATAGAAATAATTTGCATACTGTGGTAGAAGAAAGTTTGCACCTCAGGGCACTAGGATTATGATTTGAAACTTTTGGCGGTCAAAATCACACTTTTTTTTAAATATAAGACTGATGGAGGCAATCATTTTGATGGTAGATATTGATTTGTGCTACCTTAGTCACAATACAAATTTTAACAAACATTTCCTTATTATTTCCATATATATTTTAGTAATGTAATCTCAATCAGTAACAAATTTGCATGCAATTGTCTTGTCCACTTACAAATAAGAAGTATTTCATGTGTTTTTTTTTTAGAGAAGTATATTGGATTATGAAAACTAAGAAATATATTCATCATTGAATAATGTAATAACAGACAAATATTTTTTATTTTTGTGTTTGCCATACTAGTGATAATGAATGAATGAAAAGTAATCTTGCAATGACAGTGTATAAAGAACAAAGAAAAATTTTGTCACTAGTACTCCATCAAAATTTGTCTGAGGATGCGGATAAAAAAACGATACAGCAAAATTGTAATAATGTCACTAAAGGGTACCCTTGGATAAAATAGTAAAAAGTTCCCTAAAACCAAATGATATGTGAGTGATGTTTTTTTTTCATAGTAATTTTTTTTCATATTTTTTATTATGACTTATTTATTATTTATTTAGTCCCCCTGTAAGACATGAAAAACACACGAAAAGACACGAAAAAGTTCTGATATGCACAGGTTCCATTTTACGCTGTGTAAAATTCTATTTAATTTCACGGACTAGATGCATTTTCTGGTTAAGGCAGGTTGCCAGCTTGTACAGGTTCTGATATAGACACATTTTAATGTACTTTCTTCTGTTGAAATATCGTCATTTAGTATAATAATTTAAACTCATTTAAAGCAAAAAAATGTTGCCCCAGAATTAGACTAAATAGGAGTTTCACTGTATTTGTATTGGCAAGAAAGCTGCAGATTTGATCTAAAGGTATTGCTGGCACAAGAATTAAAGCTCTTACCCTTCACCATGGTGTAAGAAATATATCTAACACTGAGCCCTTCACTTAAAATTGTTTGTTTCTGTTTTGCTGTGGGGGAAACAAAAAAAGGTACAAGAAAGAACTTTTATGTCATAAGTACCCAATTTCAATATCAGTATTCACATTACTTCATGCAATAACTTAATTACACTCTGAGCAACATTAAATTGCCAACTAAATCAACAACGGGTATGAATATTAATTTTAATACATACACACAGAATAAGAAAAACCTGTAATAAAAATTCATTTTTACCTTGAAAACGTTCTGCCATACTGTTTTAGCTTTTTGCTCAAGCCTACAAGTTCATCAAGACACGACACATGTACAGTGTGGGGCAAAGTATGTTTATCTTGTGTTATTAATTTTTGCATTATATTCTGAATATTTTTTTCAGCAGTTCTGACCTACAATCAAAATAATCATGTCAAAATGGTTGCAAATGTGGGCAATTACTATAAATAAATTTCACAGAAATCTTCTGTACTCGTACATCTTACCTCTTCAAGTGATGTTGAAATATTTTCCGTAAGAGAAGAAACACACTTTTTGAACTCTGATACTTTGTCTAATACATAAATACTTTCTCTTCTGGCATCTGCCGCTTTACTGCCAGTAACAGCAGTTAAAGTGCGTGTACCAGAAGAAGGAGATTTAACACTTGTTACACAGAACTCGCCAATATCAGCAGTATTTATCACGTGTGTTCCACAGCATGCCTCTCTGCATAAAATAAATATATATTTTTTTAAATTTTAAATTGTCCTAACTGTTGTTATGGTAACAATTCAAACTAAACACTTTTCTCCACTTCTCTACTTATATTCTCGTAAGAACAGGGGTACATTTAGATTTCAATTACATTGTAACGAATATTGCATCATTTGCCGGGATTCGCTGCGCGGATTGGGTCATCTGCCGGCGCCCCCGAACTGGACGGTTCTGGGTTATTCGCGAGTCGCGTAGTTGTGTGGCGCAAGTTCCCGATGGCTCGAGGCGGGCGCCGAACAGGTATAAATTCGCCGCTGCCAACGGCTGCTGACAGTAGCAGTCAATCGGAAGTAAGCGGCCGCGAGTCAATGTATGAAGTGGAAGCTGAGCTGTGAAGTGTGCATTGCGGTGAACAGTGGTGCAGTAGGTGATCAGCAGCCTGATGTCGGAAGCTGAGCTGTGAAGGGTGCATCGCGGTGAACAGCAGTGCAGTGGAACCTGATCAGCGCCGTGAATTGTGGTCTGCGCTGTGAATTGTGGTTGTGCAGTGAATTGCGGTTGCGCAGTGAATTGCGGTCGGCGCAGTGGACCGTGGATCGGTCTGTGCGATAGTGTAGAAGAAGTAAATAGAGTAAATCAATGATCCGAAGAAGGGAACAGTGTAAATAAATAATCAGAAGAGCAGAGTCGTGTGTAAGGAAAATAAACAAGTAAAGAACACAAGGACTGTGTAATCTATCCGTAAATAAATCGAATATTTTAGTGTATCATTGTTTACAAAATAAATATCTTTGTTAAATATTACCTTGTGTGTTTTAATTCGCCACTGAGAAACGTTACAATATTTTGATTCCTCTTTAAGATAATACTCCAATTTAAAATGGGAAATACATAAAACATCTATGTGTAATAATATATCCAAAATAAATAAAATGTCCACTTTGACTTTCCTCCCTAGAATATTGTAACAGGGTGAGCACTATTTCTCTAGGACATTCCCTGTCTTTTTCCTTATTTTATTGATATTTCCCTGACTTTTTCCCATCAGTTTAATTCAATAAACATGAGTTTAAAACGTTTTGAACTCATCTCATATGACATAATTTTTTTCTTTTAGTATATTATTAGCATTATCAATATATTGTTACATTCTGGAAGCAGTAAACCCGACATGGCTGACGTTCCCCTACCCCCTTGTGAATTTCGTTACTCGCCTTCATATCTGCTGGCATGGTACATCACGGGCATGCTAAGCCCTTTGGTAGACGATATCGCGTCAACAGTTCGAAACTCCTGCAATTTCATTGAATTACTCCACGAGAGGCGGCTAGAGACTGCGGATATCCTGGTCACACATCTCTTCACCATGGCCCCAGTAGAATAGGCAGCGAAAATAATCCGCAACAAATTACAAGCACGTGGACCAACCTTACACAATCCTGATTGTTATCTATCTTCTTTTAATTTCAGGGGAAATTCTAAGCTCAGGTGGAGGGCGCCGGCATGGGTTCACCCCTTGGCTTATTGCTGAAAACCTCTTCATACAAGCTTTTGAAATCGTGGTCTTGGACAATGTAAGCCTTTAACCCACGATGTGGGTTGGCTACGTCGACACCACCATTGTGGTTTGGTCCCACAGGCAGGACAGCTTTCATGAATACCTAGAACATCTCAACAGCACTCACCCCAGCAAAATTTACTATGGGGTGGGAAAGGACGGCCGTCTTCCTTTCTGGGATGTGAGCAAACGTAATGACGGCAGTCTAGAGCACGCAGTTTACAGAAAGCCCACTCATACCAACCGCCACCTTCACGCTGAGTAGCACCACCATCCAGTGACAAAAGTGGCTTACTTAAAAATCTCGCCAGTTGCGCAGCAAGAATCTGCGACCAGAGCAGCCTCCCCGCAGGACGCATACGGCTACAACGGGACTATAATCCATAGGGCCCCAAAACACACATACGTCCCGCCAATGTCGAGGGAACCTCACAACACAGTTACCAAGTGCAATAAAACAGCCACGATACCTTACATCGTGAGTAGACAGAATTGGCAAACTCCTCAGATGTTTCACAGTCAGGACGGTCTTTAGGACGTATCACTAGCTTCCACAAAAGTTGGTTCCGATCAAGGACTAACTTTTACCTCTCCTCCTCCGTCACATGCAGCTATGAGCGCGATTACATTCGCGAGACAGGCAGGGCAGCAGAAGAAAGAGCGCGGGAGCGCATTCGCTATTTCAAGCTCAAAAATGTACAACGGTCTGCCGCAGCTCTACGTGTATGGGATCAAGGAAGCCTTGGAGATTCCCAAACATCCCCATAACATTAATAGCGAAGCGGGATTGCGACACCGTAATGCTTGGCAGTGTTGTGGAAAGCGGATACGCAGGAGTCCGCCCTTCTGGACTGCTCTTTTCGGTCCGATCCATGCGATTCAGCGCCATGGCTTCCCGCCCGACTGGATTGTTCCGTGCCATCTGATCTCACTCCCCCTACCGACGACACTGCCCGGTTCCGCCTGATTGGCCGGCTAACCATCCAACTAAATCCTGGTTCCTACATAGCCACACAGTATGACAACCACCTTACCCACCATTCTGGCGCAAACCTGACAAAAATAAATTAGTCCTGAGCAATTATAGACCACTTAGTCTCCGTTACATCCTAGGGAAGACGTTCGAGAGACAGATTCTGTCGCGTTTGCAAGACAAAGTACGTCGCCTCAAACTTCTCAGAGATTTGCAATTTGGTTTTAGAGCAGACCTCACCGTATTCCCAGAAATGCGGGCGGAGACGGCGCTCGCAAGGCCGCTAAGGCCTTCAGCTCCGCGCATCCTACGCGAGACTAGCAAAGCGCCGAACAGCGGTGTACACAGGGCCTTTCACAAAAGTAAGGGCCTACAGTACGTCTTCACCTTCCGCTTTAGCAAATGCTATGATGGCCCCTTGTTTGCTCCTGAACAGTAATGTAACTTCGCTCTCTCCACCCAAGACATCATATTGACTCGCCATACACGATTGTAATTGATATTTGACTCAATAAATATTATTATTAATTATTATTTTTGCAATGAGATTTACCTCGTTATCTAAGTTGCAGACGATTGCACATTCCTTTCCGAATGATACTCAAGTTTTGATCAATGATTTTGGCAATTGACATTTAATTATTTTTCAGATTAGGTACGTAGTGTTTTTCAGTGACACTTCCCGTCACATTCATTTTTCACTATTGAGACTTGTGCATCACTTTTCACATTTACTTCTGAAAAAGAATCGTCAGAGAGTTTTAATTTACTCACAGTTTTACTCGCATGCTCGAATAAGCTTTTGTTGTTGCACATGTGGCAGGTGCAATCACAGACAATACACAACAATTTTCCTGTGTGATGTGAATTCTCAACTGACAGACACAAATAACCCTTTTCAGTTTTTTTTTTCTGAGGCTCAAAAAACATTCGGCTCCTTTACGTCCTGTTTTATCGCAAAAGTTACTCTTTATTTTAAATTTTAAATTCTTTAGTGTTTGTTCGGGTTTGAAATCGCTTTTGGCGTCGTCCCAAGGTTTCTCGAAGATGCTCTGATTAGTTTTCACAGTCATGGCGATCGTCAAGCCGTTGTCGATCTTCAGTTTTCAGGCGCTGGGCTCCAACTTGTTTGCCTGGTACACTGTTACTATGTCTTTACCTTGAGCGTCTCAGCGTCCGGTAGATTATCAAAAGATTCTATGGCGCATCGAAATTTGTCGCAATTTTCAGGAAGGCAGCATCTTGATGGGCAACAAGTCTCCACTGATATCCACATTCACTGCCTGCAATTTGTCAACTGCATCTAAGCATTCGGCAAGATATTCCTTTGTGTCGTTACCATCTTTCATTGTATGATGCTAAGGCGTTTCAATAACGTCGCTTTTCGCGCGGGTTTCTCCAATGGACTCCAATTTAAGCCATATCTCATGGGATGTAACATGGGTTTTGACTTATTTTAATCCGTTCTTCCCTCGGCTTTTATCGAATCTGTCTTCAGGGCGCTTCCAACTTCTAGCTCGGCGGCGTTACTGGCCGGTTCTGAAGGTTCGGGAATTTGTCCAGAAACATATCCCCAGGTATGATTTTTAATTAGTAAAGCTTTGTCTTGTATGGCTCACGTATCATAGTTATCCGCGATGACATTTCGAGCCGTGTTGCGTGAGTCATTTCGAGTTCGCGTGACTAACTTTTACGTTTTATGACAATTTTGAATTTTGTCCGTTTCTTTACATATACAAAATCTTATCAATGTGACTCGCACGTTCTGAGCACATAACCTGTTAGACTATTTATGGGTAGGGGTCCGTCCATCAATTACTTAACGCAAATTTTGAGTATTTTGAATATCCCCGCCTCCCATCGTAACGCACCCGTAACGAGCGCTTGAACTCCCCTAAACTAATTACACAACGCTTGACACATACAGCCTTCACACACATTAACAAGAAATAAAAATAAATTTATCACAGAAAATAAAATGCATTAGTTTTATTTGTTATATTTTAAAATTTATGATAATTAATAATAATAATTAATTGGCGATGCTGACTACATGTAACAATAAGATTGAGAACAAGTGTTGTGTGAAGGAAGGATGCACAGACAAGAACATTTCTTACAAGCCATGCACACAACAGCATAGGTGACGCATAAGTGGTTATTATTTCACCAATTTAATTGGAATCTAGAATGTACAATAGAGCAGTTTTGAATATTTTCTTTGTAAATCTTACAAATTCAATTATTAATTATGAAAAAATACTTCAATTTATTGTAATAAATTATTCAATAACTTTAATTTTTTAAAGTAATTAATATTTTAATGTTAGAAAACACGTAACTAACACCCTGTAAGCTCCATGTAATGCAGCACAACACTGCCTCAAATCATCTTTAGTGTTACGTAATTTATGGATGAAGACCCATGAATGACTCTTCTAATAAGAACATGTATTTTCGTAATACAGAAACACTTTACAAGTTTGTTTTGACAAACAACTGGCATATTCAATATAATGCTCAAGGCGATGCGAAGCCGTCTGTAATTACAGTAGCATGGAAATCGTTCATACAACTAACATAAATTTTCTATAAAAAAATGCTATAGTAACATGCAATGTTGATTTCAAAATTCTAATATTTACTCCTTATAAACAAAAATCTAACACAACTAAATCATAACAAATATTTTTCCAAATTTCAATGACAAATTAACAAAACATGAGAAACAGAAAATGGTTGAAGAATTTGAGACATCTATGTTGAAACTTCATAAATATTATAGGAAATGAAACTAATGCCCACATCAATACTAACCTTGACACTAAATTTTTATCAACTATTTCAATAATGTGTACTTCATCTTGAGGATACACTTCTCCTGGTACCAATGTTACTCTATTTGTGATGTACAATTCCTGAAGTTTCTGACCATTCACAGTTTCCCGTTTAACAGGAACTGCTGAAGACACAACAGTTTGTACAAGTTCTTCAACCTGGAAATAAAAAATAAAATGAAACAAAACAAAATAAATAAATAAATAAAATGTAAAAATAATTTAAAATAAAATTTTTAAAAAATTTAAAAAACAACTAATGTAAAGTTATCTATCACAATGTGATTTTCATCTTTGAACTCACTTTTAACTACAGTGAAAATAAAAATGTCCCACTAACCAGTCAGAGTTTCACATTAATTCCAAATTGTTAAGAGTTATTCTTACTTTTTTGACATCCCTGGAGTCAAATCGTTCCCCGTACACAGCAAACTCAAACGTAAGAGAGGAATCGGTAACTTGACTAGACTTTTGGCATGTAACAGTCAGCATTTTACTTAAAGCAGCATTCACAAGATGTGTTGCTGTATGGTTACGCATGCAGTCCAAACGCTTTCCCGAAACAACTTCCAATGTTACTTTATCACCAACGGAAAGAGAACAATCTGTAACAAAAAGTAACCAGATTTGGTATTTGAAATATGACTAATAACAACACTAAAAAAATAAAATACTTAAAAAGAATCTCAATATAAATATACAAATTTATTATACCTTCAGGTATTTCAACTCTGTGGAGAAGATAGCCTTGAATATTGGTTACCTTATTAATATGAATTCGTGTTCCATTTTTCAAATTTAAATATCCTGTGTCACTTATTTGTCCACCAGCATCATGATACAGATTTGTTTGATCAAATATTAAATCGCAAGTTAGTCCTGGAATACCTTGTGAAACACAATGATTTTCACACACTATTCCTAGAATTCGACTCTCCAGAGATGGAAACACGTAGTCTTTTTGTTTGTAGTACATGTATTTAACGCTGTCATCAGTGGGCAGTAATTTGTGCTCTTTTGCGTACTTCATCACCAATGCACTAACATCATTCCCTGAACTGTCCACTTGGTGCATTTCCCTACTTTTCTTCCTAACGCCCTGGAGAAGATCCTGAAAACTGGATTGGTCCATTTCCAGTCCAAAGTGACTGCACAGAATTCCTATTGTTCTCATATCAAGACCATATGTATCGTAGAGTTTGAAGACCAAGTCTGGAGGAATTGACTTTGTGTTACTTGCTATAACTCTTTTCAACTCCTTGAAGGCTCCAACAATACCTGGTGTCATTTCAACATTCAATTCATCTAAGTCACTATGATTTTGAGTAAGAGCTTTCCATTCAAGCAACACTGTTTTCTGTAATGATTTTAAAATTTCCTCTTCATGACAAATTATTAATTGAATCTACAAATAAATCAAGATGGCAATCAGAGAAAAAATTATAAAATACACATTAAGGAAAAAACAACTAAGCCTTATGCATACAGAGTCTTGCTCTGACACTGTAGTACATGATCAACTATGTATTAAACAGAGAAGGCAAAATTGATTTTCTTATCTCTCATGTGCAATAACTTACCTATTAATAATAAAGGAAGTTCTAATTTTAAATTCTTAATGTAAACAGAACAAAATACCTGTTTTAATTTGGCCTCCACTTCAGGATATGCCTCAGCTAAACTGTCTGCTACATAGTTTGTTAGTTCTGGAACAAGGCCTCTGTCACATTTAAAAGTATTTTCTGCAATATCCAAGGCCCTTCGCAGAACCCGGCGCAACTTAAAACTAAAAGAGTATGAAAAGCATTTAGAAAACTTTGTAATGCAGTAAAAATAATTACTGAATTTAAACTTTAAGTTAACTTCTTTTTGATGAATTTATTTAATACTGTTAATGGCATAATATATGAATTAAACAGATCTGTAATTACACACTTCAACTCTCACAAATTGACTTTAATCCTGTCCCATCAGATCCATTAGTTAATATTTTGTGGAAAACCTCAGCAAAAAATAGACTTTGAAAGCAAAATTATATTATCTTTTACCAAAAGTCACTTGCATAATAACAAATTTAATTAAAGAAACGTATTAAATGTTGTTCCTGGCGACAAGATTTACACATCACAACCTCCCATTAGGAATGAAATCCCAGTTTGTCTGCATTGTTAATAAAGGGCATTAGAAACTAAACAATGAAATATTTAACTGAACATAGTAGTCTGTCAGCAGGTTTTACAAACTAATTCACTTAGTAGTTCTATACATTAAATAATTAATATTTTATGTATTAATTAAAGTTTGTATTTGTGTAACCATATATTATAATAACAGAACCAAACATTAATTAATGAAACTGAAAATTGCTTTAGAAAACTTACTTTTGATCTGGAAACATTCCATCAGCCAATGCAATAGTTATCATTCGGATATGATCAGCTAATATTCGATAATCTGTATCAAGTTTACTTCTTCCTCCGGTATATGTAGGTGCACCAGAAATCTACATACAGAGATCATTCTACACAATTAAAACGCATATCAGAGAATAGCATGGTCTACAAAATGTTTTGATTATCTAAAATACTTTTGTAAATCAATTATTTGTATTCAATAAATAAAACTAATTACAAATAGGAATGAAGAATATAAAAATATTTTACAATCCACACAAAATCCTTGTTACACTTTTGCATAAAATACAAAATAAAAACAACCAAAACCTTGTCATGTCAATTGTAGATCAAAATTAAATTAGATTATTTTGTTTCCAGGTCCATTAACTGCTATGGTCATTAGTGCTGTATGTGTAATACATGTTTTATCATGGGAGGTGTCAGTTTCTTTCCACCAGTACAGATCCGGCACTTATCTCAACATGTCCCACATGTGAGCTTTTGAGGTTTTCTCTAATCGGATTTCTCCCACCAGTAGTGCATCGCCCCAGTCAGGACAAACATAAAGCTCCCAATTGGTCTCCTAACACATAGAGTAGTGTAATGCCCATCAGTGTAAGTGTGTGTAGAAGAATAGGAAAAGGAAGAGGAAGGAAAGATCATGAGCAGTCTATGGTTTGATTATTAAGGTTGCCTACATTGGATCGAAGAAACTACTGAAAACAATAAATCAGAGCAGCTGGTAGTTAAAATTCTCCCCCGGGTAGCAGGTGAATTCAAGCTAGATATCTAGCTAGTCTCAAAAGTTTGTTACCATCAGGACTCAAACCCAAGGACCCTTCATTCAGAGGTGCTGCTGTGACATCAGTTGATGCCCTGAGCCACATAAGCTGGTGAATTCTAGATCAAGAATTGAGCCTATAATACTTCATTAATAATAAGATATTACATTGGAACAGAAATGCTATCTCACAATGGTACATCCACAAATGGCATATTTAGGAATGAAATAAATGATAAAAGGTATGAATTAGTTACAGGTGATAATAGTGAGGGAGATATATATTAATACACAAAATTCACTACCTTCTGTATAGCATTGAAAAGTGGGATAAATAAATCAGTGTCATAGTTTGACTTTTTGCCTCGCAAAATTGCAACCAATCTTTCCAGGCCCATCCCAGTATCAACATGGAAACACGGAAGTTTCTTCAAACTACCATCAGAGGCCCTGGAAATATAATATGTATTACAAGAATAATATAAAATTGCCAGTCAACCTTATATTACACAATAACAATGCCAAAACAATTATTAGTGTGTATTGAAAGAAGACAAAATATTATTTCTTTTTAAGAACACAGGCTCATACCTCAAAATAAAAAAGAAAGGTTACAATAAATAGCATGTACAATTGAAGAATATTTAACAGACATTCTCCATATAACATATGTAATATTATGGAGAAAAAATGATTTGATCTGCATAAGTCCATCTGTTACTTAAAACCGGTTTAATTAATATAATTTTAAAATATTGTTTTATATGGAGATATATTTGTTTCAAGATTGTCATAAATGAAGATATATTTGAGTAAGTATTTCATTTTAACTTCCTACATTGCAACATTAGTTATGAGCGAGAAAATAATTGCACAACAAACAATACCACGTTATGTGCTGCACAATTCCAAGAACATCAGAGAATACAAGGTACAGAAATAAATTTATTAAGAAGAGTCAAAGATCGCTCAATATTATATCAGATATGAAACAAAAGAATCAGATCCGACATCTATTAAATGAAGGCACAGCCAAGAAAATATACACAAATAAGCATTTCTATGTGTTGATACAACACATAGAAATGCTTATTTATAAAAAAGCAGTAACATCAGTACCGGTACTAATTCTTTCTAATGTTTTTCTTTCTTCTTTAATTTTTTACAATATTAACTAATTTTATTATTTTCTATTTGTTTTAGATAACCAAGGCACAAAAAGGGAGAAAAAAGATCTGTGTGTCTATAAGATTATCTACATTTATTTTATAATGAGCTGCAAATGAAAGAAGGCTTGTGTGATCACAAAGCTTAATTAACAAAATTTTTAATTAAATTGTAGTAATTTTAAAAGCTTTTCACTGAATGAAAATTTCAGAGTAAAGGTGATAAGCTATGCATACCACATACCGATTATACTGAATGAAAACTAAGTTCCATATCTCCACAACATCATCATGGTCCCGATTTACACGGTCAGAAACATTTTTTCGACCATGTTCATGATCATAATGAATTTCTGTGCAAGGACCACATGGTCCAGTAGGGCCCATCTCCCAGAAGTTCTCTTTTGGCCCAAATGCTATGATTCGCTCAGAAGGTACTCTGTGAGTGTTTTCAAGAGAGAAAAGTACTTCAATAAAAAAGAACCTTAACTCTAAGCAAGAATACAAAAATATTGTTTCACAGAACTGCAAAGATTTGTATCAATATAAACAAAATGCAAAAATACACTATCCCAAATGACACTTCTAAAAATATAGCCTCAACAATAAGATTCTTTAAAATAATTAACCAAAATATTATACCCAATGCTCTGCCAGATATTTTTTGTCTCTACATCTGGCTCAATGCCCATTTCTTTATCACCTCCAAAGTAAGTCACATACAAACGTTCTTGATTAAGTCTATAGGGGCCAGTCAATAATTCCCAAGCCATCTTGCAGGCTTTTTCCTGAAAGAATTCAATACTTAGGCTGGATCTGATAATCTACTTCAGCAACAAATTAGAAAGCAATGCAGTTGAAATACACACCTTGAAATAGTCACCAAATGACCAATTACCTAACATTTCAAAGAATGTGTGATGATATCCATCAACTCCTACACATTCTAAATCATTATGTTTTCCCCCAATACGAATACATTTCTGACTATTTACGACACGATTATACGGTGGTTTGTTTTGGCCAAGAAATATACCTTTGAACTAAAATTGAATTAAATTGTTTTGAATTAAATACAGCAAATAAATTTTAATAATAAGTTATATTCAGAGAGTGCAAAATAAAATAATGAAATATTAAATATTGAGCCAAGCATGCAACAGACCTGATTCATTCCTGCATTCACAAATGGTACAGATGGGTCACAGAATGGAACAACAGGGCTTGATTTGATAAAAGTGTGATCATAATTTTCTGTAAAGAATTTTATAAATTCGTTCCTTATTTTATTACTGTCTACACATTGACCTTTAGAGGTTACTGAGAAAGATGCTCCAGATAGTAAAGAACCCAGCCTAGTATGTAAACGCTTCATTTTAGTATTATAAAATTAGATAAGTAATGTAAGATTTTCTGGAGTTGTTTGACTGACAAACAACCACATATTTCACTCAATAACAATTGTTAACATTCGTGGGCAACATATAAACCGGTCACTTGACGCATGGACACGCTCAAGTGTCATCGATGCTCAGTTGGAGCTTTACGTGGAGAAAAAAGGGCGCTGTTAATGGGCATCGAACGGGTACATGGTATAAAGTATACGAGAAACCGTGATTTATGGGACCTACAGACCAATATGCAATACCACAGTTTCTTGCCAATATTCTAAATTGGAGGGCGCGATAATTTCGCTAAGTATTAATAAAAACCGAATCTACGACCGAATACGCCCTGAACCGGACTGAATGAACTTTACAAATGACTCAGTTGAACGGAGACCGGTCTGAGTCAGACTATCCGTATTGTATTGGTTTCTTTCCCTTGCTTGGACCAACACTGATCAACACCACTTGTTTCTTTGGGTTTCACTTACAGCGTGAACCGTGATAATCGTGTTACAATACACCGGGACCCATACTCTCTGGTGCTGGTATTCGTGAGCATTTGTGGTTTTCAGATTTCAGTGTTTTCTATTTGTGAAGTTGTATTGGACCGTTTGTGTGTGTTGACAGTAGTCTGACTAAAAAATAATAAATGTGCTTGCAATATAAATATTGCTATTTTTGTAAACGTACGACCAAATTTACTGAAGTGCAAGAACAGGGGAGGTGATTTAGTCTGTGGGATTTTCGAACAAATTTAATCGTAATTATTTGCAAAATGATGCGAATTCAATGGTTTACAAAAAATGTGCTTTCAAATTTACGAGGAACCTTGAAAGCACAAGAAAGAGGGATAATGACTTCCTCTGTTCACCAACTGAAAGAAATAAAAGAAACCAAAGAAGGTAAAATCCTTGTTGTAGAGGGAGTGAATGTGTCATCGCCTCGTGAACCGTACTTGATTAAAGTACCACAAGGAGACGATAAACCATGCCCAGTGTGCAGCCTGGGTTTAGAAGTTAAACATACAGATGTTTTGATTTTAAGTCAATTTGTGCGTCCAGATGGATGCATGTTGCCCCAGCGAATCACTGGATTGTGTATTGCACAACAGAGAAGAATAGGAACATTGGTGACCATGGCTCAGAAAGCAGGACTTATGCCTAATTTAGCACCAGATTTTAGCAAAAAGGATCCAAAGAAAAGGTACAAATGGAAAAAATGCAATACATATTTTGATGAAAAAACTATCTCTGTAGCAAGACCGAAATATCTCAGGAAGAGAAAGTAGAAAAGTATTTTCTTTCTTTCTAGTTTGTAATGAAATTGTCACCAAATAATTGTAAACAATAAATTTACTTTCGTGAGAGAAAGATTTTTGTCACTTTTTCGTAATATCTGCATAAATTTTCTTGAGCTTCAAAATTACTACCCATTAAACAAAAGCAGCAATGAGCTTTGTTAGTTAACAATATTTTTGTTTCTACATAATACTAGGATATTTACTGAAATGTAAGATTTAATTTTCAAATTAATTGTATTGCATTGACCGACCATAAAACTCAGCTCCTCACTAATGCAAAAAGAAAATTTGAGCAGATACCAATTCATCTCTTCCAAATGCTTACAAGCCGGTTGGCTTCTGTCAACCTCACTTAAATCAATTCAAAGAAGTTAATAATCTTTTAAACATTTTCTTCAGCTTGTTGCCTGAATGTATCAGACTGCCTTGGCTCACAGTTTTTGTACATGAATACTTTTAGTATATTTTCTGGGTCAATTTTAATTAAATTCAACAAAACTTACTCTTTTTTTTGTTTTTGTTTTTAGCAATTTTTTTACCTAAAAGTGGTTCTGATTAAGTGTTTGTTCTATGCTTTAACTGAATGATGTAAATTTTGTCTGACTGAGTTTACATTTCAGATGTGAAAGATCATTTGAACACTTAGTAACAATTTCATTGTGAATGTGTTGATATAAGAAGTTTATTTTAGTGAATTGTTAATTGTGTTTAATTTTGAATACATTTTTTGTCTTTGTATTTATTTTGTGACTCAATTTTTTTAAAATAAAACTATCACAATTTAAAATATTCAACCTCTGGTCTGTCAATTAGATTACTATTTTTTTTTTAACACACCAATATTGTTAATAGAAGGGTCCTGATTTGTTAAACTATTTGCTTAAAATCATCAGAAATGAAGTATTCTGATTTTTGAACAATTTTGAAATTAATTTTTATTTATGCATATTTATTAAAAGCTGTAAATTATTGTATGAAATAGTTTACATTCTCCACATTTATTTATCAGTTCTTCCAAGTAGAAGTGGAGTTGAAAATTATATTTACAAAATAATCTTACACAGCTAAAAATATTTGTTAAACAATGTTACAATCTTATTAAAAACAATGTGGGATAATTAAAATACACTGCTATGAATAGTATTGCAGTATATGTAGTATATTTTGACTAATGCTGTATTCTGTTTGAAGCGGTATGTCTCTTCACTGCATTTATTTTCAGTTGTTTTTTTTTTGTGTGTATTAATCTGCCCCCTAGTAGTTTGTGTCAGACTCCTTCCTATATGACTTAATGAATAGCCCGCTAATAGCCACGGCACTCCGCCGATCCAAATAGGAGCGAGCGACTGCAGCGCTGACGTTATAATGAGAGAAGTTCTTGATGCTAGTCTTTAATTGAGTTTATTTGAATGTACCGTCAAAGTCTATCTCCATGTACATTTTCGAAGTTGGCAGCACTGAATGTTCGCCATATTGAAAAGTGTAGGGACCTATAATTCCCATATAAACGTGGTGGAGACCATTACCGTGCCGCGCTCTTCTGCATCACCTTCTTTACAGGAACTGCTGCCAACGATACTTTAAACATGCATGACTGCTGCAAGAGTTCGCAGGTTGCAAGCAGGACCATGTTACAAAAGATAACGTCTTCTTTCGCGCTTTCTTCGGAGGTTTCTTATAAGTAAGATTATGAATAATTGTACATTTAGAAGACACTTTTCGTATTTCTCACAAATTAGCCAATTTGTTTGTGGGAAAGTTGGCGAGCCTAACCTGCAGCTGCACCCGGCGACACTAGCGCTTCCTATAGTAGCAACCTCGAGCTTTGTCCCTGATTTTGATGGAGAGTTGCCGGGCCCTGGACCTAACGACGCTGAAAAGCCCGCAAGTTTCCTTGAATCCTTCAATACCTACCCCCACTCCTTTACCAATATTAGTTGATTATTAGCCACGAGCGTTGATCACAAAATCTCATTATTAGAAACGTTAGCTTCCATATAATATTACTTCACATTGAAACACGAGCTACAGGCATGATATAATTAACTTGTCAACGACATAACCCACCCCTCTCGCATCTAGCGAAAAGAGTGCTCAGGAAACATGGGCGGATAATACCAATAACCCTTGCTGAGGAACATATAATGTAGGCTTTCACGGCACGTGTCTACATAATTAGACGTTTCCTAGTTTGTAGAACGTGGTCCAATGGAGACTGGTCCATACATTTCGCTTGCAACTGTGGCAGGCATCATCTTGCTAAGAAAGTTTCATACGTAGTCCACATTCGATTCGTCAGGGGGTGGATCCAGAGACGAATTTGGGGATGGGGTGGAGTGGTTGTATGTGTATATAACAAAGAAAATTCAAATTATGAAGAAGGTAAATTATAATAAAATACTTATAACAAAATTAAAGTATTAAATTTAATATACACTTCATGGTTTTTAATTAAAAATGGTAATGATTTGTTATTAAAATCGTTGAATTCAGAGCTGCAAAACGAAGGATTAATTTTCTGTCTATGACACATATGAACAGATAGAATTTAAATAAAAACACGATATCGATTTACAAATTAAACATTCTTTTACACACATTACTGTCCAGGATTGAAAAAGAAGTCGACAGGATATCATAAAATATGTCTCGAGCCTCTTCTACTTTTTCTTTGAATTTCTTTCTCTTAAGAATTAATTAACCGCGCTACCTCCAGGCGCATGTATGCGATCCATGCCCTATTCAGTTCGGGCACACTTAATTGCGCGAAATATCACAGCGACCCACTATCACTCGCTTGTCACATACATAGACCTTACTTTACGTTTCAGGTTGCGTCGGCCACACTCCAATACGTGGAAATCGCCTTAGCACCTCTTGTTAAGCAGAGGAAGAAAGATGAGCTGTTACACGGCTCTAGGAGAACAGTCTCCAAGACATTTTCCATACGTACTATGAGCTAAAATACATGAGTTTCAGGATTCCCATTCATAACTAAAAGCCTAAGGACAGAAAGCGCGGTTATTTTTTCGATACATTTTAGACGTTTCTACAATTTATCTTGTGTTTCTCATTTTTATTTTTCCTGCACTTTTACCATTTTTATTTTTTTCTCTGAGCCTTTGGACATGGCGCACCTTGATCCGACCCTGCGATTACATCAGTAACATATCCAACAGCTTGATTATGCCTCTGAATATGTTTTGTTAAAAAATGTCACTTTTCTTTACTTTTAGTGCATTTTGAAAACATTTAAAGACTAGTTTATTGATCATTTTTGGCGATGTTTTAGGTCATCAAAATCCGCCCCTTTATTATATTTCCCCATCCTAGGGATACTACATAAATGACAGACTGAGTAGAGTGTGATCGGTAATTAAGATAGTTTTCTTTTTTTTTAATTCAAAAGGATTTAGTCAAATGTGTCATTACAGATTACGTAAAATAATGCAGGTTTAACACAGCTTATGCTGCGATGCGATTTTATTCGCGTAAATGATAATCCGAAAATATTTTTACGGAGTAGAGAGAAAATTATGTAATGCTGCGCGAAAAAAACGCGAATTTTCGGTAGGAAAACTTACTACGAGGCCCTAGTAACAAAAAAGTATTTAATTCCAATTGCTATATTTAGAAGATTCTGATTGACGCCATCTTACGAGACGGACGCATCTGGCTGTGCTCTTAAATTTTTGTCACTTTATCTACTATTTTTAGAGATTTGAATATATTTGGTGTGTTTAAGTGCTTTCATTACTTGTAGATTGTCTGGATTTATAATTTCGGCTCGTTTTTTGCTATTGCCAAGACAATCTAAAATATAACAAATTTTAAACGGTTTCTGGAGCATTAACGAATTTAAGATTTACGAGTTTCAAAACCTATAAACAGTTCAATTTCTTTTCGATATTATATCTCTGTGCTAATTTAATTACGGAAATATTTTTTATTTTATTTCTGTGACGAGTGACGATTCCGTTGATTTGAACTTTACGAGGACGGTGTATAGAACGGTTTTGAATTTGTGTTTCAAATTTAATTTATTCTATATTTTCAAGACAAATATTCTCTTAATATCTTTTATCTATCTACGGTAAAGTATAGTCTACTAATTGTATTAAATAGTAGCAGCTTCAGTGGACAACAAAGAGTATATTTCGGTGGACAACTATCTACAGAACCACATTGCCAAATTTCGTAAGTACTAGCTTTCAATCAATTTATTAAATACATAACAGTCTTGTACTTTCAAAATATTAAGCTAACTGGTTGTTGCTCTTATCTGAGTTTCTTGTATTTATTCCCATTTTATCAAGTGCATTAAAACGCATTCGAGACATGGAAACTAATCGGTCTACTCTTTTTACTCTCCACACTCTCCAAGCCGACCTTCTGAAAGCCTTCACATACATGAACAGTAATTTAGATCAACATATCCAAAGGTTGAAAGAGGTCGTTCTCTATACAGACGGTTGGGTACAAGTCGGCAACACTGCGAATCTTTGCAACTGTGCACTCGTGACTGCACAAAAGACACATATACCATATCCAGTCGCAACTCAAAACAAATTTAGTGTTTTAGATTATGAAACAGATTTTCCTCGCCTTCCTGATCCTCACAACCCTTCTCTGCCATCGACAAATACATGCACAAACAAACGCAAACAGGCTAGGAAGCGCGTCAAAACCAAAAACACGTAAAGCTGCGCATCCTAGCCCACTTGAAAACAAAGACATTCCTACTGAGCCAACAAAAAAAAAACAACAAAAAGTACGCAATTTAGCTGACAGCCATGTCCACCATCTTTCCTCCGTTAATAGGAAGTTACCCTCCAACTACTCAGTCTCATATTTTTAAACCTTACGGGAGGTTTGCAGACGTGACTGCAGAGCTGGACACCCACATGAAGACACTGGCCAATCAGGTCAAACGTCGTCATCATCATAGGCGGGCAAAATGACATTAATTTGGGCGATAACTTTACACCTGAACAAATAACCTGTGAACAAATTACTACGTGCCGAACAAAACACTAACATTGTAGTCTCTACTCTGCCTTTCTGGTACAACAGACCCACACTACGCAGTGAGATTAAGCACGCAAATCAACAATTGAAACTGAAACTGTTGTTACACTTTTTTAAATGAAATTCCTCTCAGCAAAACACTTTACCCGGCATCTCCACATAAACCTTGCTGGAAATCATACAGTCGGTAACAAGCTTGCACAACACATCTACTCCAGTCCTACGCAGTCTCCTGCCAAAAATCCATCCCTCTCACCTTCCTTACGTTCTCCATTCCCCACACTTATTTCGAACCCACTTACCTCCTCTGATCCTTCTCCCGTTTTTCCCACGACCAATTCTCCTACATCTGATGCCTCAGTTTCCTCACAACCTGCCAGTGCCGGGACACACTACAACCTTCGACAACACACTCGAGGTAAAAATAAGAGTAAATATATAGCAACTACAGTGAGATGCAGTAGAAAAACATCCGTGTAGGTATTTGCAAAAGGTAAACATACCATAATGTTCAATCCCTTTCAAATAAAACTGAGTTTATCGAAGCAGCTCTACAGAGTGATTTAAATGAAATGAATGTTCTTTGTTTTATAGTAGATTGGTTATTTCATAATCATCTTAGCATTTTCTAAATTCCAAACTTTTACCTCGCAGGCTATAATGGCAGAGAAAAGGAATCGCATAAAGGTCCTGCTTATGGATAGTTCTTGCATTTACGTTCGAACTAATACCGATTCTATTTCCTTGGAATTAAATGTGTATTCCGTTGAAAATGTTTTTGAAATATCTTTAGTAGATCTTCCTGCGCTAAAAGTTATATTACTTTACATTTACAGGCCTCCAACAAAGAGAGCACTATATTATATTATGTTCTTAAGAAAACTGGAGATAACACTATATAAAGTCACCAATTGCTCTTTTGAATCCTACTCGATATGAAATTGAAACTAAAGATTTAGGATACGGCGAACACGATGCACAAATTCTTACTATTTTAAGAAATGTAAACACGGACACAATGAATAATACACGTATGAGTATATTATTTACTGCAGTAGTCATGGGACGCGGTTGACAATACTGTTGATATTACTCGCGCAACGTTTCTTGAACGATGGATTGAAGAAATGTGGGTAGACTAGGAGTAATAATTAAGAAATTGGTCACGATTTCATGAAGCAATACCAATCCCTGAAGAATCAGTCATGCCTTCGCAATGTTTTCAATAAACTATCTCAGGATTTCGAGGTATCTCCTGTGATAGATCTTTACTAGCTTCGGTCATTTCTTTAGATTTTTTTGGAGAAAATTACGGATTGAAGTTCTTACCTTGAAAAGAAAATTGTTTATATTTGAGCCAGTGAAGATGTGTTTGGAATGTTGTCATCGGTGCTCGTTACGAGCTTTTGCCTTCAATTGTGTATTGTGCCAAAGAGGGGTAATCGCAAGGTCATCGTTCAAGAAAAGTTGCGTGTGTAATACAAACGATAAATACAATTTTTTTCAACTCTTTCATTTCATTTTAACACTTGCTTTCCCCTTCAAAAGAGAAAATAAAATATTCCACGGAAAAGCAATTCTTGGATAACACAAGGGATTAGAACATCATGTAAAAACAAACTAATTCTTTCATTTCTAAGCATCATACCGTATTTCACGGTTTCCTCTTCTACTTTAAAAAATACAAATCATTGCTAAGAAAAGTCATACGGAAGACTAAAAGCATAACTTATATAATAAAACAAAAGCAATGTGGAATATAGTAAAAAATTCAACCAAATCAACTAGAAACCTTGTAAAAAAAACTTCGTTTTAAAAGATAACGACAGAAATATGAACGATCCGGCAACAGTGGCTAGTCTCTTTATCCAATACTTTTCGAGAATTGCTACCGATCTCACCGAGGGTCTTCAGCCACAAAATTCAGCATCAGACGTTTCCCCAAAAATTTCAGGCACGATATTTGTTTCCCAAACTTCTTCCTATGAAATTCGCAAAATAATCGGCAGACAAAAAAAATATATATATTCGGCCTGTTTAGACGATTTTACGGATTGTTAAAGGTTTGTGCGCCCGCCATTATACACAACTCACATATTTAATGTATCCTTAGGCACAGGATTTTTTCCAGATTATTTTAAAACTAAGATTAAGCCGCTTTGCAAAAAAGGCATCAAAAATTAGATTCAAAATTATCGGCCAATTTCTCTTTTGTCGGATTTTTCAAAAATATTACTTTTCTTTTACGTACGAATGGAAACATTTGTTAGTAAACACGACGCGTTTTCAGATTACCAACATGGGTTCCTAAAAAAAAAAAAAATCAACGGAAACAGCCATATTTTCTTTTCTTAAAGATGTCGCCTCATCCATGGATCAAAACGAAGCACCGATTGGAATATTTTTAGATATTTCAAAACCTTTTGATGACATTGATCATATCATTTTACTCTCAAAATTACCTTCGTATGGAATTCGTAGTGTTGCTCTAGATTGGTTATGTTCGTACCTTAAACAACGATCTCAGAGAGTAGTTTACCTTAGATGAGAATACCTTACTGGAATAATGGAACATTATGTACACCTTTCCGATTCTTTGCCAATTGCATGTGGAGTTCTGCTGGGATCGATTTTAGGCCATATCCTCTTCCTACTATACGTAAACGATATGCCCCCGACGATTAGAAACGGAAGAACAGTTTTCTTTGCGGACGATACGAAAATTTTTTGCAATAAAGAAACCGTAAATAGTATATCTGATATTTCAAATTGGTTTCGTAAAAACAAATTAATAGTAAATGAAAAGAAAACTGTTTCGATGCAGTTCTCCATTTAAAATAAACAGCTCGGGACTTCACTGAAAATGAACGGAGTGCCATAGACTGCAGTTAAGATAACATTTTTTAGATCTTTCAATTCGGTCACCTGAAATGGAATGTCTATTTAAATGAATTTAACACAAAATTACGTTCTTTATGCTACGCTTTCAGAATTCTTTCAAATTCAGCCTCCACACTGCCTGCTGTATATATTTCGCGAATGTTTATTCCCGCCTGAAATACGGCATAATATTCTGGGAAAATACATCGTATAGCTCCCATACTTTTAGATTCCAAAAACGAATTGTACGAATAAGCAAATCCCACCCACGTGATTATTGTAAGCCTCTCTTTATTAATCTAGGTATTTTACCACTACCTTGTCTCTTAATTTATGAGGTTTTGGTCAAAAATGACTTAAGGGTGGGAATATATTTTCAGCAAACACCGTTGTCTATACCTACAACACTCGACGTAGTAATCATATTCATCAGGTATTACTCGCGCAACTTTTCTTGAACGATGAATTGAAGAAATGCGGGTAGAGTGGGGGTATAAGTTACGAAATCTACCACTAGATTTTATGAAGAAATGCCATTCTCTGGAGAATCAGTCATGCGTTCGCAACGTCCTCAACAATTTGCGTTCTAACATTCTCAGGTGTCTCTCCTGTAATAGATCTTTACCTGCTTCGGTCATTTCTTTAGATTTTTGCGGAAAATAACGTATAGAAGTTCTCGTCTTCGAAAGAAAATTGTTTCTATTTCGCGCCAGTGAAGTGTTAGGAATATTTGTCATCAGTGCTCGTTGCGAGCTTTTGCCTTCATCTGTTTATTGTGCCAGAGGAGGAAGCAAAAGCAGCATCGTTCAAAAAAAGTTGCGCGAGTAATAATAGTATCAACAGCTCACTACAAAACAACAACAACATAGAATACATGTACATTATTTTACAACACCTTGCCACATGACATTAAAGATTAAATTCAATACAAAAGTTTAAGTCCCAAGTAAAATCTTTTCCGCTGCACAACTGTTTCTGTACAATTAGAGACTATTCCGAGCATCCAAAAGGAAAATAATATTAATTTAACAATGACATTTCATGTTTAATACATCATTTGTATTGTATAATTGTAAAGAACCTGTAACAAGTATGGTACTTCAGCTTCTGGGTCAATGACCCATCTCGATCAGGTTTTCGGCCAGTTTCTCTGATCCTCGAGCAAATATTGAGATGGCCCCTTGTTTTGCTTCTGGACATAAATGTAACTTCAAATCAACTTCTCCCCATAGCATTTCACACACGGTTTTTGACGTAAATAAAAATAGGAAAAATCCGCTCACACTCCCACAAAACAGTCAGAAGCTGTTTTGTGGGTCCACAAAACCGAAAAATCGAATGACGGCAAAACGTCTTTTCAGCCTGAACAACCCTACCGGCTAAACCGTTCAGCCAACTTTCTTCAAAATTGATATTCCCCATTCGATCTGGCCGACGGTAACACCCCTGGAATTTGTAACCGATACTTCAATTTGGGGGGTACTTAACATGAATTCCCAGGGACATTTACATTTTTTTTACGTATGGCGTTAAGGACGTTTAAGAGAATAGCGCAGATCTCACGTTCGTTAAAAACGATTTTTTGAAAGATGCAAAAGTTTCTATTTTTTACGTAGTCTTCCTAGAGATTTTTTCCTTAATCTGTTCCTTAAAGATAACTTCTGAAATAAGGTGTAGAAGTTTTGGAAAATTTGAGTACTTTTGCGTAATTTTGAATGAAAATGCGGGCGAGTTGTTTTAGCACCACTTGCTACGTAAACGTTTTAAGAGAAGTTAAAATGAATAGTTACTGAAATTAATTTGTTTGAACGGGGG